CTTTTCGTCCTTTTTCGCCTTTTCGTCCTTTTTCGTCCTTATTATCCTTCTTCGTCCTTAATATCTTTTTTCGTCCTATTCGTCCTTTTCATTCTTTTACGTCCTTTTTCGCCCTTTTTCGTCCTTTCGTCCTTTTTGTCCTTTTTGTCCATTTCGTCCTTTTTCCTAGTTTTTATCGTTTTTCGTCCTTTTGGTCCTTTTCGTCCTTATCGTCCTTTTCGTCCTTATCGTCCTTTTTCGTTTTTTTCGCCCATTTTCGTTCTTTTTAGAACTTTCCGTTCTTTTCGTTCTTTTTCGTCCCTTTGCTTCCTTTTTCGTCCTTTTCGTCCTTTTCGTCCCTTTTCGTCCTTTTTTGTCCTTATCGTCCTTTTTCGCCTTTTCGTCCTTTTCGTCCTTTTTCGTCCTTATTATCCTTCTTCGTCCTTAATATTCTTTTTCGTCCTTTTCGTCCTTTTCATTCTTTTACGTCCTTTTTCGCCCTTTTTCGTCCTTTTCGTCCTTTTTGTCCTTTTCGTCCTTTTTCCTCCTTTTTATCCTTTTTCGTCCTTTTGGTCCTTTTCGTCCTTATCGTCCTTTTTCTCCTTTTTCGTCATTTTTAGTCCTTTTTCGTCCTTTTTATCCTTTTTCGTCCTTTACCTACTTTTTCGTCCTTATTATCCTGTTTCGTCCTTTTCGTCCTTTTTCGTCCTTTTTCGTCCTTTTCGTTCTTTTCGTCCTTTTTCGCCTCTTCGTCCTTTTTCGTCCTTATTATCCTTCTTCGTCCTTAATATCCTTTTTCGTCCTTTCCGTCCTTTTCATTCTTTTACGTCCTTTTTCGTCATTTTTCGTCCTTTTTGTCCTTTTCGTAATTTTTCCTCCTTTTTATTCTTTTTCGTCCTTTTCGTCCTTTTTCGTTTTTTTCGCCCATTTTCGTCCTTTTTCGAAATTTCCGTCCTTTTCGTCCTTTTTCGTCCCTTTTCTTCTTTTTTCGTCCTTTTCGTCAGTTTCGTCCATTTTCGTTCTTTTTCGTCCTTTTCGTCCTTTTCATGCTTACCGTCCTTTCTCGTCCTTTTTATGCTTTTTCTTCCTTTTCGTCAATTTCGTCCTTTTCGTCCATTTTCGCCTTTTTTCGTCCTTCTTCGTCCTTTTCGTCCATTTTCGTCCGTATTATCCTTTTTCGTCGTTGTTCCTACTTTTCGTCCTTTTTCGTCCTTATCGTCCCTGTTCGTCCTTTATTATCCTTTTTTGTCCTTTACGTCCTTTTCGTCCTTTTTGTCCTTTTCGTCCTTTCTCCTCCTTTTTATCCTTTTCCCTCCTTTTCGTCCTTATCGTCCTTTTTCGCCCATTTTCGTCCTTTTTCGAACTTTCCCTCCATTTCGACCTTTTTCGACCCTTATAGTCCTTTTTCGTCCTTTTTATTTTTTTTTCGTCCTCTTCGTCAATTTCGTCGTTTTTTGTGCTTTTCGTCCTTTTCGTCCTTTTTGGTCCTTTTTCGTCCTTTTCGTCCATTTTCGTCCTTTTTCGTCCTTTTCGTCCTTCGTCGTCCCTATTCGTCCTTATCGTTCTTTTTCGTCCTTTTTATCCTTTTTTGTCCTTTTTTGTCCTTTTCGTCATTTTCGTCCTTTTCGTCCATTTGTGTCCTTATTACCCTTTTTCGTCCTTTTCCTTACTTTTCGTCCTTTTTCGTCCTTTTTTGTCCTTTTTCGTCGTCCTTGTTCCTCCTTATTATCCCCTGTCGTCTTTTTTCGTTCTTTTCGTCCATTTTCGTCCTTTTTCGTCCTTCTCCTCCTATTCGTCCTTTTCCTCCTTGTTCGTCCGTTTACGTCCTTTTCGTCCTTGTTCATCCGTTTACGTCCTTTTCGTCCTTTTCCATCCATTTCGTCCTTTTTCGTCCTTTACATCCTTTTCGTCATCTATAAAAACCCTGTATAATATATATAATAATAATCAAACCTAAATTATGAAGCAATTCAAAAATATTGGTCCAAATTTATTTAGACAGAAATTCCATAATGAACAAATTAATTTTCTTAACTAAGTTATGAAATTTGGGTTTAAGAATTTTATTTTTTTTATACCTACTTACATTACATAGGTTAAATTAAGGATATATGGTATATTTTAGCAGAAACAAAAAAAAACAATAAAAAGGGACAAAAACCTCAACAAAAAAAAGCGGCAAAAGAGGCAACAAAAAGTGATAATAAAGGCCACAAAAGAAGTGCAAAAAAACTATGGGAAAAGACAAGAAGGAGACTAAAAACACAACAAAAAGGCGACGAAAATTAGGCAAAAAAGAAAACTGGTGAGGAAAAAAACTATGAAAAAAAAGTAACCAAAAATATGCAACAAAAAAAGAGACAAAAATGCGACTACAAGGACGAAGTGGAAAAAGTGTCAAAAATTAGACCACAAAAAAAAATGACAAAAAAGGGAAAACAAACAAAAAACGTCACTAACTAAAAATAAGGCAATAAAAAGGGACCAAAAAAAACATAAAAAATGCGACAAAAAGAAGCGAAAATAAAATGTTAAAAAAATGTAAAAACCACACAAACATGCACCTTAAAAAATGAAGCGGAAAAGGTAATTAAAAAGAAAAGAGAAAAAACAGACCTACAAAAAGTTGACTCCAGAGAACCGATAAAAAGGGACCAAAACAATGGACAAAAAATCAGCGATAAAAGGAGCAAAAAAGACAACAAGAGGCGAAAAGAAGGTGAAAAAAATTGAATAAAAAATGTGATAAAGTTATGAAAAGGTCACTAAACAAATGGAATCAAAAAATTGTCAAAAGATAGGTGAAAAAGAAAACCGAGAAAAAAAACAAAAAACGCTATAAAAAATGTCGATAAAGGGGTAAAAAACAAAAAACCAAAAATGAGGAAATGCGTTTTAAAAATGGTGCAAAAAAACTCAGAAAAAAATGTTACAAGAAGGGTGAAAAAGAAGGAAAAATACAAAAAAAAACAATAAAAACATGCCATAAAAAGGGAACAACAACACTGTCAAAAAAAAGGCGAAAAGAGGGCCAATGGGTGAAAAAAAAATAAAAAAGGGTCCAAAAATGTGATAAAAAAACACGCGTCAAAGAAAAAGGTGAAAAACGGCAAACAAAAAAGACAACTAAAGCAACTAAAAAACGACAAAAAAGCCACAAAAATTCGATTTAAAGATTGAGCCAAAAACGTGTTGAAATTGTAAAAGTCGCAAAAAAGAAAGGCAAGAATTAAGCCACAAGAAGGCAACAAAAAATGAAAGAAAAAAGAACAGAAAAACGTGATAAAAATCAAGAAAAAGGACGACCAAAAAAAGGCGAAAAAAAATGGAAAAGATTAATAAAAAATATAAAAAATCCACGAAAACAAAGTATTCCAATCATTTTTCCAGGTTCGCCAAATTAAATATGGCTATTTTTAAGGTAATTTTGCCAAAAACTCAAATTGTCAATCCCGATTTGCCAAATTTTTAACTTTTTACCAAACAATTTAAAAAAACTCAATTTTTCGATAAAATTTTTGCAATTTCTTACCTTTTCTTTTTTTCGAATATCCCAATTATTTTCCATTTTTCCAAAATTTCCAAAATAACACGATCAACAGGCATTCTATTTCGGATCAGTCCGTCACGATCTATATCCCAAAATTGTTAGTAGATTTTTAGGCAACTTTGCCAAAACCTCAAAGCCATAAAAACACGATTTAAAAAATGGAGACAAAAATTAGGCCTAAAGAAGGCCACTAAAATAGGACGATAACACCGTACAAAATACTACACAAAATTTCAACGAAAAAGAGAATCAAAATAAAGAAAAATAAAGGCCACAAAAAAAGAAATAAGAGACCACATGACCTGACAAAAAAATAACACAAATAACACAAAAATTTAGCAGTAGAGCGGCACAATTTTTGTGTAAATACTAATTTCTAAATTTCACCCTTATTTAGACGTTAAAATAGTATAGTTACATCATATACTGCATTGGTCGTCACCGTATACATTTTAAAACAAGAAAATTGAAAATTGTGTGGGTTTGTATAGCTCAAAATTTGTTTAGGCGTTTGATGTGACATAAACATCAAACTTTTGAGTTCAAGGCCACAGTAAATCGAGACAATATTGACATTTGATTCAAACTAATCAATAATTGTTGAAATAAACCAAGTGAATTTTAATAAGGACAAATTAATTAACGAAATATCTAGTAAACAATGTTGGATCAATCAGTTTTCGGTTATAAAATTAATTAATAGTAATAATGTGACATAAATCTGGCACTATTGACTTTGTCAGTTACCGTGTCGCTTAATATTAATGGTGTAATAAATTAATGCTTAGGTATTAAGTAACATTTATGAACAAATTGTTTGTGAATGACACAGGCATGTCCACAACAAAATTCGGTGACATTTATCTAAAAATTAAATTAAAGTTAAATAACTACGCAGCTCCTCTAGAATTAACAGCTTAACTCGATTAAAATGTTTTGATATAATTTAAGAATAAGAAGTATTGACATTTTAAACATATTTTTGCTGCAAATAGCAAAATGTCACTTGGGTATACAAGAGTAAAAAAAAAGTGCGTCGACCCAGGGACGCACGGATGGATTTTAACTCTGCTTTGTCAATTTGTATAAATTAAACACGTATACGCGGCGAAGTCATTCATTTTCTCTTAAAAAATAATTAAAGCCAAAAATATGTTGCATTTGTATTTTTTTGACAAAATGATGATTAATGATGATGATTTGGTTAATTAAAGTAAATATCCATGTACTGTCAATTGTTGTTTATTATAAAATATATTTTTTTATTTATTTATCATATAGAAATATCCAAATAATATAATATAGCGCGGCGTTACATGCCTATATTCAGACTCAGTTCAGACCTGTGTCGGTGTCGGTGTCGGTGTTTAACATGAAAAGAAAGAAGTTAAAACTCCAAAATTTATTTGAAGCACTTATTTCGGTTAATTTTAAGCCAGATAAGAATTTTAAACCACGATTTTCTTTCCAGGTATGCGAATCTTGGTCATGCTGCTCCTCGACACCCTACCCATGTTGGGTAACGTCCTCCTCCTGTGCTTTTTCGTATTTTTCATCTTCGGCATCGTAGGCGTCCAGCTGTGGCAGGGAATCCTTCGCCAGCGCTGTTACATGGATCAGAATTTGAACAAAACACATAATTTCACATTGCCGTAAGTAGACTCTCATCCACCTTATCATCAATTAAAACATGATAAGCCACCAATTCGAAAGACCCATCGGGTGGTTTCAAATGGACACGTAATCGAATCATCCCTTTAATGTTAATCAAACACTCTAAAAGAGTAGTTACACCCCATGTGCCAGAAAAAAGAGTACTTTTGCTAGTCACTAAAGACGTTTTGTGCCAGCTTTTCATGCTTTTAACTGTTTGAATTTGATCGACACGTTTTAAAATCATTAACCACACTATTCGAATTCATAGTCTCATGCAAGTTTTGTGGTTGGAGTCTTCCAGTTTTAAGCATGTTTCCCTCTGGACCAGACACTGCGACCATTGATGGAGGAGTACTAACCAATTGTGTCCTCGTCTGCTTTCTCATAACACGACATGTGACTGTGATAAAAATGGGACAAATAATCTACTCGTCGATATTTTATTGCACGATAAATATCCTCGTGTCCTGGTAAAATAATCAAAAGAATAAAAGAAATGAGGTTTAAATCGAACGTTAGTGGAGCTAAATAATAATGGGATAGGCTTTTACGGAAACATGAATAACGACACGATCTTTAAATAATGAAACGAGCAAACTGTTATTGTTTGCGTCGTTGTCACTCTTTAAGGGTAAATAAGAAACAATTATGACGACCGGGATATTGTATTGTCGCCTTGAAAAATTATGTTTTATGGATGTTTTAGTGCAGTCGTAAAAAATAACAGCCGCATTTATTTGAGAGTCATTTTTACAAGAACGCCGGCTTGAATTTTAAATGTGGATTTTAATACATAAAAACGCATTAATTTGACGGAGTAAAGTTTTGCGTTTGTGTTAAATGACATTATGTTTGTTGAGGTGCTGTAAAAAAATACAGGTGTTTTCATTAATATTAAATGAAATATGGCTCGACGACAATTATGACAGCATTATTGTTCAGATAATTTGGAAATATTCACAGTAAATAATGTCGTTAGTTCTATAAATGTTATAAAATGTTATCACGTCACGACAGTGAATTGATTTTCTTTCTTGACGTCTTCGTTTAAAATCTATTCAAAATTGGTCTAACGTTATTTACACAGAACTTCCCTCCCTCTGTAGCACAAGCATTAAAACAAGTTTAGTTTCTTCGATAAAGGATAAAACTTGATTTTGCGATACGATTCTTTCAAACTCATTGAAAAATAAAACACACCAATCTCCAAGAACGTTCTAAATTCTATTAAAAACGAAACACCTAAAATTTTCCAAAATTTTGTGGATTTTTAAACCAAACTTGAGTTTTCAATATGTTCACGTTTTTCCAAGCACTTTCGAAAATGTTTCAATGGATTTTTTTTTAATTTGGAGGATATTTCGAAAATCGTGCTCGGGGACCATCCACAGACTATATTTTTTGATTCAACTCGGCGGGAACTATATCCTGGAATTTTTTATGGTTTGAAGGCAATTTTGCAAAAAGTTCAAATTGTCAATTCCTCACTTACGAAATTTTTTACTTTTTTCCGAACGTTTTTCCAAAAACTCAATTTTTCAATAAAATTTTTGAATTTTTTTTACCTTGCAGAAGCTATTTTCGGGTTCATTTCTTCGAATATTCCAATTATTTTCCATTTTTCCAGAATTTCCAAAATAAAATGTGGCCATTTTGGGAATATTTTTATTTCGAAAATCTTAGCCGGGAACTATCAATAGGCTATATTTTTCGGATCAGCCTATCACGATCTATATCCCAAAATTTTTAGTGGATTTTTAGGCAACTTTGTCAAAAACTCAAATTTTCAGTGCACCCCCTTACGATTTTTTTTTCTTTTTCCGGGACTTTCAAAATTTTCGACTTCATTTTTTCGACTATTCCAATTATTTTTCCAAAAACGCGGAAATAATATATGACCATTTTGAGGATATTTCGAAAATCATGGTCGGGTGCCATTCGCGGACTATATTTTTGGAATCATGTGATCCCGGAATTTGATTATGAATTTGAAGGCAATTTTGCCAAAAGCTCAAATTGTCAATCCCCTACTTACGAACTTTATTGCTTTTTTCCGAATACTTTTCCAAAAAACCCAATTTTTCAAAATTGTTTACCCTTTCCGCGCAATTTCGAAAACTACCTAAGGACATTTATTTGTTGAATTGGACCTGCAGAAATTATTTTTGGGATCGTTTCATGGGGTTTCCAGAATTTTCAAAATAAAATATGGCCATTTTAGGGATATTTTTTTCGAAAATCTATCAACAGGCAAGTTTATTTCGAACCAACCCGCCACGATCTATAACCCAAAATTTTTAGTGAATTTTTAGGCAACTTTGCCAAAAACTCAAATTTTCAATACACCCGTTATGATTTTTTAATTTTTTCCGAGACTTTCAAAAATTATGATTTTCAGCTTCATTTCTTCGAGTATTCCAGTTAATTATCCAAAAATGCCAAAATAAATTTGATTATGGGTTTGAAAGCTCAAATTTTCAAACTCCCATTTACGAAAATTATCTAAAGACGTTTGTTTATTTCGACTCGCAGAAGTTATTTTCGGCTTCATTTCTTTGAATATCCCAGTAATTTTTCCGTTTTTCTAGAATTGGATATATAAAATATAGCCATCCACTTATCAAATTTTTGAATTTTTTTTGAGCACTTTCGAAAATTATTATTTGGAGGTGAAGAAGTTGCTTTCGGCTTCATTTCTTGGAGTAGTCCAGCCATTTTTCCAGAATTGCCAAAATAAAATATAGCCATTTCAAAATATTTCGAAAATCTTATTTCCGATTTGTTTTTGGAATCAGCTTGTCGACCCATATTTTTTTTGTGGATTTGAAGGCAACTTTGCCAAAAGCTCAAATTTTCAATCGCCCATTTTTAAAATTTTTGACCATTTTTCCAGCACTTTCTAAAAATTACTAAATTTTTCATAGAAATTTTGAAATTGTTTACTTTTGTTTATTCATTTCCACTTGCAGAGGTTATTTTCGCCATAATTTCTTTGATCATTCCATATATTTTTGCATTTTTACAGAAATGCTAAAATGAAATATCGTCATTTTGGATAAATTTTCAAAATTCGACTATGAAACCGAATACCTCATTTCGAAATCTTTGGCCGATGACTATCAATAGAATATGTTTTTGGTCGCGATCTACATCCCAAAATTGTTTTTTCCATGTTTCTGAAATTGCCAAAATAAAATATGGGCATTTTGAGAAAATTTTAAAAACTCGGCTTTGAAACCAAATATTTCGAAAATTTCGGTCGGGGACTATCAACAGGCTATAATTTTCAGATCAGCTCGTCGTGATCTTCATCTCAAAATTATTCGTGGATTCTTAACCACGTGTTCCAAAATTCACATTTTCAGTACATCCAACTATGAAATTTTTAAATTTTTTCAGGGCGCTTGAAAATTATGTTTTCAGCTTGCAGAAGTTGTTTTGGGCTTCATTTCTTCGAGTATTTCAATCATTTTCCCAGAATTTCCAAAACATAATATGGCCGTTTTAAGGACATTTCAAAAATTTTTGTTGGGAGCATCCATGGGCTATGTTTTTGGAATAAAGTCTTCGAGATCTATCTTTGTTCAAATTTTCAATTCCTCACTTGTGTAATTTTTAGCTTTTTTCGAAAAACTTTCGAAAATTACCTAATTTTTCAATGAAATTTTGCAATTTTTTACCTTGTTTGGAACAATTTCTAAAATTACCTAAAGAAAAATATTTACCTATTTGTTAATTTCGATATTTTTGGCTTTACTTATTCGAACATTCCATTCATATTTCCATTTTTCAGAATTGCCAAAATAAAATACGGTTATTTTGGGAATACTTCAAGAAAGTCGTTTACGGCTTCATTTCTTTGAGTATTCTAATTATTTTTCCAGAATTGCCAAAATAAAATATGGCCATTTTAGGGATATGTCGAAAATCATGTTCGGGGACCTTCCACAGACTATTTTTTTTTGGAATCAGCTCGTCGAGGCCTATATTCCAGAATTTTTTTGTGGATTTAAAGACAATTTTGCCAAATGCTCAATGTTTCAATCCCTCACTTACGACAATTTTTACTTTTTCCGAACACTACCAAAAAACTCAATTTTTCAAAGAAATTTTTGAAATTTTTTACCCATTGTTTCTATTAAATTTTGAATTTTTTTCCGATCATTTTCGTAAATTATCTAAAGATTTGTCGATTTCGACTTGTAGAAGTTACTTTCGGCTTTATTTCTTCGAATATTCTAATTATTTTTCCATTTTTCCAAAATTGCCAAAATAAAATATAACCATTTTGGGGATCTTTCGAAAATCTTGATAGGGGACCATTCACAGGCTATGCATTTGAATCAGCTCGTCGAGATCTGTCCCAGAATATTTTTGTGAATTTGGAGCTCAAATTACCAATTTATGAAATTATTGGCCCTTTTCCGAGGATTTTCGAAAATTAGTCAAATTTTCAATGAAATTTTGAATTTTGTTCAACCATTTTCGAAAATTACTTAAAAACATTTGGTTGTTGATTTCGGCTTCTTTTTTTAAACATTCTATGATTTTTCCAAACTAAAATTTGGGGATTTTGGGGATATTTTAAAAATTAGAATTTGAAACTAAATATTGCAAAAATGTTGACCAGTGACTATCAGCAGGATATCTTTTTTAGATCAAGTCGTGGCGACCTACATACCAAAATTGTGGATTCTTAAATAACTTTACCAAAACTCAAATTTCCAGTATATCCAGCTATAAAATTTTTGACTTTTTCAGGGCACTTTTGAAAATTAAGATCCCAACTTTTCCCCCTCTTTTTTTCGAGTATTCAAGTTATTTTTCCAGAATAGTTGCCAAAGTATAATATGGCCATTTTGGGAATATTTCGAAACTCTTGGTCGGGGACCATCCAAGGACTATGTTTTTTGAATTAGCTCGTCGTAATCTATATTTCAGAATTTTTTGTGAATTTGAAAGCAACTTGGTCTTTTTTTGTCAAAAGCTCAAATTT